CCTAGTATGTGAATTAGATTTAGCAATAGGGAAGGCAAGTGAAGGGGTAAGGGCAGAAGCCTCAATATATTAATAGCAGGCTTAAAAAGGAATGAAAGGTACAGCTATAGTTTATTCTCAATAATTGATGTTATAATATGCATACTTTTTAAAGTTAAACAGACGTAGAATGGACAAGAGCAGTCCCTACCCCTATCCTATCACCAAGTCCTGCTCCCCAGGGCTGTATACGCATCCCTAAAAGCTTCTAACTAAGTGAAGGAATATAGTGATGAAGGAGAATAGAAGGTCAAGGAGTGAATGTCTCTAAAATGTCGTTATAGAGTGCTTGCTCTCCTCCTTCACTGTGTTTATAAGTGATTTATGAAATTCATAAGGAGTTTAAATACTCACATAAGGAAAGCATTCAGATATAGAGCACGTTTACTTTCCCATAATCTCACAAAATGTCCAATTATGTACAAGGGTATTGATTATTGAATCTTATTTAGCCTCAGGTTCAGTCTATCAAAAAATCCCTCCAAGTGTCCATATAAGCCACTGTCAAACATACACATAGTGGTTTTTTTATACTTCTCTGAATGACACACTATCTACCCAATCAACTATCAGTCTACCATCCAAGCAAGCACCAGCCTCCCAATGGTTCCCTGAATCTGCCTTCATCCTCGCTCCCTCTGTATTAGTTCAGACCTTCATTAGTTGCAGCCTGGATCCTTGGAATAGTTTCAGAGCTGGTCACCCTGCCTTGAGTTTTGTCTCCCATCAAACTCATTCTTCTTGCTGCCATCAGAGAATTCGATCTGAATAGCAGACATGCTTGTGCCACTTACTCAAGATCCTGCTTAAAATTTTAGTTCACAAATTAGACCCGTTTACTTCTTCATCCTCATCCTCTGCCACTCAAGGCCAGCCATCTCTCAATCCAGCAAACTAAACATTGCACGCTGGTCCCTCAGTTAGAAACGCATCAACACTCAGTTTTCCCCATCACCTCCAATCCCAGCCTATCCACCCCTATCCCCAACACCTTCCTTTTTGGGGGCTTTTATAGCATCCTGTAGACAGCTCTATCAGAGCATCTGCCACTTGGTTTGGAATAGTTAATTTACACACCCTCCTCCTTAATTAATCTATCAGTTACTAAAGAACCAGAATCAGTATGTTACTTTTCAATTCCCCATGTTTACCATGCATCTGGTGGTATACAGCAGGTGCTATCTCTGCTGGGACCCTGTTCCTGCTAATTTCTTTCCAATCTACCCCCAAAAGCAAACAAAAAAAACCCTGCCCATTATCTCACTTATTGTGAAATTTTTATAAGCAATCTTTTACATTTGCTCTTTAAAGAAAAACAACAAAACTTTAGCTTTTCGGATCTGGCTATTTGGTGGATCAGAACCCATGAATTCACCTCTTGCCAAATCCTATGGCTTTTCACAGTTCCTTATTCTCCTTGCAGCTTTCGACTACCATCCATTTTCTCCTTAAACCACCTTCTAAGATTTCACACCATTGGCAGCATTGCCCTTGAAGAATTGTTTCCGATTCCTCATTGCCTTGAGTCATTTGACCTACCCACCATCAATGTAAACACATTTCCTTCTACAATTTGTGTTAGCACTTGCCTCAGCAACAAGTCTTATCCAGTGAAAGCCCCTGTTGAAACAAGAGTTTTTTCAAATTTAATGTCATTTTAAGTTCATTAAGATGCAAGTTTCTCTCCTAAACCCTTAAGTCTGGTGTAGGCGGACTAAACCAGCCTTTTTTTCTCATCACTTCAGACTCCAGCACTAACATACTTTTTTTTTTTTTGGTCATACCAAGAGTTTTTGGTGTTTTTTTATTTTTTATTTTATTTTATTGGGGAATTGGGGGAATGAACAGCGCTGGGGAATTGGGGAAGGGGAACAGACAAGTTGCTGTCCTTTTTTTCTTGTCTAGTTGTGGAGGACGTTGCTTCACTGGCCCACGTTGGTATTGTGATCACTGTGCTTTTCCTGGCTGAGGCAGATAGGTTGCCAGCCATTGGACAGCCGCTCACGGAGGCTCATGGCAGCTCACGCTGGCTGCCGGCCATACACTGTAGCTCACTGCAGCCTACTTGCAGCAGGGGCTGCAGACTATGCCGTCGACGGCGATTCATGGCAGCCCACCTCCAGGTCAAGCTGTTGTTCACCATCTTAGCTGTAGAGAGCGCAGCGTCACAGGCCCATGTGGGATCCGAATTGGGGCCCTGCTGCTCAGAGCTCCAGTTCCCAAGCCAACTCTTAACCAACGAGCCACTCGGCTGGCCCCCCAAAAGAGTTTTTTCTTGTTATTATTGTCTATTAATTAGCAAGTGGTTTTCAAGCATCTCTGTCTTCTCCCTATCTAATTCCCCACTTCCCTCTACAAGTATATTTCCAAGAGTTCCTGGGGAAAGTGGGTGGAGAAGGAAGACAATATGTGGGGCTGTGGCTTTCTAGCTCATTCAGCCTCAAATTTATTTTAAAATTTTCTTAAGATTCTGAGGAAATAGATACATATATATTAGTCCCAAAATATGTGTGAGCAGGTTCTCTCCTTTTTAAAGGGCCATTAGGTTCTCTTGTGAAAACATAGCGGAGGGGCTGGGGCGAGGACACCTGTTCCTTTAAAACTTCAATATTTGGAGCATACCCAACCTCGGTAGGAGGGATGGTGCTACAGGGAAGTTGTGCTTAGCGGTAGCAAGCACAGGAGTCGCCTCCGCTCTCTGTGACCATGGGCAGGTCACAAAATCCTTGGTTTTATTTCCTGTGAAATAGAAATAGCCTTACTGGGTGACTGAAAGAGTAAAGTTAACAATGTTAGTAAAAGTACTCCGAGAAATAACAATGCTGGCTTATTTGAACCGGGATGCGGAACAGGTGGATGCCCACCCATCGAGGTTATCCCCTTCCCCTAGCTCAGCAGCGGCCTTTCAGAAAGCCTGAGACGGCGGCAGCTCGTCTCCTGGGCAACCGCCGCGCTCTCCCGGGCCCCGCCCCCAACCCGCTGCGGGGACCGGAAGCAGCTTCCAGCCTGGCGCTTCCCGGGTTTCTCCCAGATACTGCGGGTCGTCTTTCCCGGTCCCGAGGTGAGAGCCGAGACCTCTTCTCCGCTGCTAGGCCGCGGGGAGAGGCGTCCGTCAA